CAAAAGATGTTAAAAGATGGTACTTGTTGTTACCCTGACTGGCGCTCGGCATTAAGGGGCTAAAACAAGGGACTGGTCGGCTCGGAGACAGTATACTGTGTCTGAGTGGGGTATTCATGTTAAACTGCGGCATGGTATCTCAGTGAGCTAGCACTATAAATCGGCATCAGTCCGGACTAGTACAAGCAGTGCAAGTGCAATAATCTTGGACGCGACGTTAAACCCAACTTCACCTCACCTATAGCTAACATCCTTACATTGTCAGGTTGGGTATGAGGACGAGACCCCGTCCTTGGTTTAAATGTTCTGTGGTTCGAATCCCTGCACGGGATTCGGATTTGTTTTCGACGCTAACATTGTAGCCGTCATGCATTTTCCGAGTACCTTGTGGTGGGATCCGAACCCCGGACCGCCTTGATTCGTCGTCAGACCCCTTGTCCATATGACCTTAGAGGTTTACCGTCAGCAAGGTAAGGATTCCACCAGCTGCCACTTCATTCACTGGAATCCGTCATAAAGAGTGAGGTGAGGTTATGGGGTTTAACGTCGCGTTCAAGATTATTGTGCTTAAATGGCGCGTGCGTGCGTGCGTGCGTGCGTGCGTGTGTGTGTGTGTGTGTGTGTGTTTCCTTTTTTATGCATGTAAAACAACAAGAAAGTTCAAAACAACGAGATGAACATCGTGCAGAGATGAAAGTTGCATGATTGATTCCAGTATTTGTATCAACAATCGAAAGTTAAACATCCATGATGCATATCTGTATACATACATACCATACCTACTTGTTAATTATAGTCATTAAATGCCTTTATCTATGATTGAGTCAGCTGGATGGCGTCACATGGAGGATTCTAACCAGCAAGGAAGGGGTTCAGCAGACATTGCCAGCTTTGATAAACCGCAGTATGACGTACATCAGTTGACGTGTGCTAATTTTGGTCAAACAATTGGGTTATACCTTGGTCAACGCGGGTTCATCACGGTCGTCCGGGGTTTTGTAATCGAACGGGAACACTGATAATAGTACTTTTATCAACTTACGGATACCATTTGATTGCACTTAGCTTCGTTGGACGTTGCTGGGATCTGGGACGTGGGTGTGGCATCCATGCAGCTCAGGGGATGCCATCCTGCTTATTGCTCATGCACCCATGTTTGATGGTGGTTAGAATTGAAACAAACAAGATATGATTATTCGATGGTGATGTATTTCATATGGGTATCATAGTTGTGTTTTGAACTTTAAGTTTGCTGTGTTTCAGCGGCTGTTTCAGCCTAGTGATGTTTTCATGACGTTTTTTTGTAATTCTTTGGTCCAATCCAATTTTCAAGTGGATACTTTCTATAGCCCGGTCTGACGACGGCCTAAAACAACATCCACTCATCCACTAATTATAAACGTTAAACAACTAAATCTTCATCACAATGAATATTAAAACATCCAAAACATCTGCTTGCCGGCAACATCGTGGTTTAGCCATTTAATACCTAATTCCAGTTACAAATTCCTAATTCCTAATTCCTAGAAAATACACGAATGCCCAACATCCGCTACCCAATTATATTTTGTTAAAACACTTATGAGACATTATTCTATTGTTTAGACGATGCATTTATCACGGATGGACAAGTAGTTGTCACTTGTTAATGTCCATTTGATCTTGAACCAACATTTTACTTGGATTTGACGGATCTATTTTTTTATTTCGGTACTCAAGTGAATGGTTACAAATATTTTTTTAAACGTAACGCCAACATGGCGGACACCGTTTGCGGACGCCCGATAGTCGACCTCGGCTATAGTGACACATAACAGAATGATATGGAATGATCAATTAAATATTTTAAATGTTTGTATACTTAAAAGCTTAGAAAATATTATATATTATGTTGTGCTACATTATGTAAAGTTTATAACACTGTTACGATGATTATGTTAAAGAAATTAGATAATTCCTCTAATCAGCATATCAGGTTTGAAAGAGAGTCATTCGAATCTTGCTCAAAAGTTGTTTGAGCAGGGTTACAACATTCAAGTGTGGAGGTCATACCGAATTTTACGCATCGAATTTGGTGCCACCGGTGGGGCAGGATACCTCACCTTTTCGCGAACACCTGGTATCATCACTATTAGTGATTCAGAAACACTCGCTTGTGATATAGTCGGAATCGTACTGTCGTTTTGTTTTATTTAAAGAATAAAACTAATTAATCCTTGTTTACCTAGGTCATAGGTCAGTGAGTGAGTGAATGAGTATGGTTTTACGCCGCTTTTAGCAATATTCCAGCAATATCACGGCGGGGGACACCAGAAATGGGCTTCACACATTGTGCCCATGTCGGGAATCGAACCCGGGTCTTCGGCGTGACGAGCGAACGCTGTATCCACTAGGCTATCCGACCGCCCCAGTGGACTCTGGTTTTAGGAGATATTTGTTATGATTATGGAAAGGGTTTTGTCGCTTTTATCGCTAAAATATACAAGCAGTTGATAAAATACCAGTTTTGGGCCCCACGAAATACTGGACTTCCCGCTCAGTTCGGTGATCATGTTATAAAAGGCACGCTAAAGGACTCGCTACAGTTCAAAATGGCTACTGTGAAACTCATTGTGGAGTATGCCATGGTGATCATGGTCATTTATCAGTCGGTTACTGACAGAGAATTGGAGTAAAGTGGCATGCAGACGGGTTTCCGTGTCTCCAGCCGAGGCTTCCTTCTTCTGCTGCAGAAGTGAGGCCATTTTGGATGGCCTTCAGGATGGCGTGTCCAGCGTCACGCAATGAGCACAGGCAGAATCGAAGGAAATCTTGCGTACCGGAGGGTGGACTATTGTGAAGTGAGTGAGTATGGTTTTACGCCGATTTTAGCAATATTCCAGCAGGGGACACCAGAAATGGGCTTCACACATTGTACCCATTGTGGGGAATCGAACCCGGGTCTTCGGCGTGACGAGCGAACGCTTTAACCACTAGGCTACTCAACGCCGCGACTATTGTGAAGAGTCTTGACCCATGCACTGACAA